CGCTATAATTCACAACGAACGTCTCACGTACTCGACTCAACTGTCCGTATCTATCTCTGTCTGTAGTTCAATTACACATTCCATTGTTGCCGTCAGTTCTTACCGGTCTTATATATACAAGAATACCGCATATCTAGTAACCTTTCGAGACTTAAGGAAGGGACGTGAACGTTCGAGAATATGACGTGTTACCAGCGTCACGTAACAAGTCTATTGGAAGGTATTCAAAGTTACATACAACTTTTTGGGCAAAACTCTAGGTCAGAAGCTAGAACATGGCGCAAGTTTTGGGTAAACGTTAAGGTTACACGTAGTCGATTGATTTGTTGCTGTTAAGCACAAAGCTACATAATGGACTATCTGTATTCTGCCCACCACAGATATTGATACCCGATTTTTACCGACTTATCGCTGAGCAACTCGTGGGCCGGTTACATGTAAAATCACGTATGAAAGTTTTGTCCGTCGTTACAGTCAGTCATAACGAACGAGTTTGTTGATATATAATCAAAGTTACAGATAAATATGTAATGATAAACCTTCTGGTTAATACGTTTTTTGGATAGATATTAGAGGCTACAGGTAAGCACTTTTGACACTTTGTTGGAAGATACTACAGGTTATGCATATTCACAAGAAAAGATTCACTGGATGGAATTGGAATTTTCAACCTGTGCGGTACTAAACGACCACGTCGGATACCTTAGGGTTCAGGTATAGTAATATTAAATGTTGAACTACCGATCAGAAAGAAGTTAGCCAACCAGAAGCAACTGCCACCACAAGGATCTCGGCATAAGAATAAGGCAAATAATTGAATGTTTTTCATACAAAACTAGTTTCATTTTCCTCTTTTTGTAAATAAATATAGAAACTCACCAAATGTCTTAAAACAAGTTTATTATCAGTAATAAAAAACAAGACTCAAAACGTATTGTTTTATAGACTGTATTTTTAAATATTTAATATTAAGATTCTGAAAAGAAAATATAACAAAAATATATTTTTTTTACTTCGGTATTGCTTCTTATGTTCCTTATTTTAATTTGTACCAATCCAGTATGATATAAACGAAATAGTCCACAAAGCTTGGTTTTTTATATCATAGTCTAAGCTATTCTGCTCTTGCCAATATTGTGGTACCATTCTTTTAAACTCGTGTCATTCTTAAAGTAAATTAAACTTTTTAATACATTTTGAGAAACGAGAATAAATTCACCTACAGCTTAATGATAATGGAATTGAATAGTCGTTACAGAAACATGCTTATCAATCTTACAAATATATAAAAAATATAAACAAGAAATATTTTCACCGACATGTAAGCATTAAAAACACAAGATAAATATGCCTATTGTGTGTAAAAAAAAATTAACCGACGGCCTTGATATTTCATAACCGAGAGGGCTTTCGTCACCTTAGGCTATCCAGTATTTATAATACCAAATTACATATTAACTACACTAGTCAACCTTTACTTGTCAACATCGGCACATGAACGTCCGTATTTAACCTTTTTTTTCTTTTGTAACATTCCAGAAGAAATGGTTAAAACACGAGCACAACTGCACGATTTGTTTTTCAGTGGATATTTTCATAAAACGTACTTCCAGAAACTAAAGTTTTGGTTAATTCTCTTCAAAGAATAATTCTTATTTACTTCATTTAACCATAAAGTTTAATGTGAAACTTTAGATATACAACTTGATAAATTAAAATATCTTCCCAAAGCAAGAATTTTTTTTTATGTGTGTATGTTAAACGGAATTAAAAGGATTTCCTTACAAATCTATAACAGGTAAGGTTTTTTACCTTACAAATCTACAACAGGTAAGGTCTTTTACCTTACAAATCTACAACAGGTAAGGTCTTTTACTTCTAAAACTTTCCACATATTATCCAATAATACAGCAGATTCCATATAATGATTTGTATTCGTTCACTAGCGTTATATTATCTTTAATAATCCACGAGTTAAGGTTTTACGAGAGATAAATTCAATTTTCTTTTTTAACCGGCTATTTCATACCTTAAGTTGAAAAGTTAATATTAAAACAGGTTTATCTTCTATCTTCAAGAATTCTAAGCTCCTAGTTGAGCCGTTTCTAAAAAGCTGTAACGTTCTCAAAACAGCTAAAGAATGTTAAGCTCAAAAACTAACACTAAATCCTCACATATGCTTAACCTTTTTTTTTTCTCTCCCCTCTTGAAGTATGGAAGATCTCCTTTCGGCTGTCCTCAAGACAGACACCAATTTTCCTTATTCAACAAACGAGACAACTTTCAGGTGTCAATGGATTCATTTCTTCAGACTTTCATAGTGCTGAAGAACGTTTGAATTTTTAGGTCTTTAATTATTACAAAACTTGAGGCTCTAAGATATCAGCAAAAAACTGTTTAAATTACAACAAAAGTAATACTAATTTATTTTACTACAAATAAATCAACAATCGAAATGTTTTTATAACATGTACAAAAAACATAACAAATATACATGAAATAGTTGAATGTAATATCACGAGAGTGTGTTGAATCACATAAACATTGAACTTCACAGTCAAATGAAAAATAATTGCTCTGTACATTTCTTCTTTCTTTTTTTTAAATAAAAATAGTTAAATTTTCAAACTGAAAAAAAAAAACAAATGCTCTTAATATGAGAAAGATATACAATAAATACGTCATGGAAAGAACATAGTTAACTTAATACTTCGTCTAATATACACGAACAACGATTAGAAAATGCTCTATTTACAACACACCCACCACACCGTGACATCAAGATTATAAAACGTTAGTCTTGCTTTACATTCGTTATCATCATACCTGGGATCTATCCGGATTTTTACCCATAATCTCAGGGAATTCCTTTACCTTGAAGGGTTTCCGGTGATTAATACATGATCTCCGAACGAGGTAGATATTACTGCAATGAGCGCGATGCCCATGCGCGTGCGTTTTCTTAGGTTTCCCCCTTTTTTTTTAATGAAGACTTGATTATTGTTTGTGGATTAGTAATGTACTATTTTTGAAATATATAATAGCCAACCGACTTTAATGTTCCCAGGTATGACTAATGTTGTGTCACGTGTTTTTGATGCAACCATGCGAGACCTGCCAAAACGTAGTCCATAAAAATACGTGACTTTTTTACAGCTCAACGCAACTTATCGGGATATTAATATCTTCAAATTCATCATCACATAGAAAAATAATCATAACCATGTAAATTGCACTTGACTATTCATACTTCATACTTTGGCAATAAGAATACCCTAAACGAGTCAGAACCAAACAGTGGTGTTTTTACATTTCTTCCCAGGAAAATCTTATTTAAACGGTTTACAGTCATCTAGAGATTGTTAAAAAAGTTAAAACATGATTCCTAACTTGAATTTCCTAAAAGTGGCATACGCTCTTTACACTAATATCTAGTACTATAAAAAAAGAAGTTTATGGGATTGTTTGTTTAATTTCGCGCTAGGCATCCCTACTTTGAAGTAATAGACTAGAGGACTACTCTTTTACGAACGAAAAGTGGAATTGACCGTCACTTTATAGCGCCTCTACGGTTGAAAGAACGAGCATGTTCGGGACTTGAACCCACGATCCGAAGATTGCGCGTCGAGTTTACTGACTACCAGGCTATGCAAGGCCTCACTGTATTGTATCACATATGTATAGATATAATTCAATCAATTTCAGAGCTAACATATAAAAGTACAGCCAGATAAAAGTGACTTCTCAGATGTAAAAACATTAAAACTGCCGGGTTACCAGACTCTCCCACCCACCTCCAAATTAACAAGGTCAGCCGAGGAAGTAATGCTTATTCATGAGACATTTGACAAGGATTAAAGCTTATTGTGTAGCTTAATTATTTCGTCATGCGGCGATAGGTATTTAATCTAAACAATGACATTATCGTTATTAATTGCAAAAAGGGAAAAGATATTCCCCTAGCAGGTAACAAAACCGCCTCCATGTGTCTGAAAACCAACTAATTTATTTTACATGGTCTAAAAGACTGATTAAACGGACCAAAATGATTGAAGAATTTTGCCAAAAATGTGAATACAAGTTTTCTTACATTGCTAGATTACAGTACAGATATACACACACACGAGTAAGTGTATCAATAACTATACAGTATAGTTTACCTGTGTATGGCTACCAGAGTAATGTCCAGCATCACTACTTACGAGTATCTTGTAATGAAGAAAACCCTTTAAAATGTACAATTTTTCAGCTATATAAATATATGGGTTCTATGTCCAAATGATTTGCTTTAATTTGACATTTATATTGAAAAACAGAACGTTAATACTCCACGATCTGCTAATTCAAGTACACTTTTTGTGGCATTTCAGGCACAAACACGTCTCATAAAATCGTTTGTGTGATTTTTTTTTCCTACATCCACAAACAACCAACCAATACAATATTCAAGCTTAAGATGATTGCTGGTTAGAACGAGTTTTTTGGGTTTTTTTTTTATGTAGTTACAACAGAAGAAGGTGTTATTATCTGTCTCCATGTAGTTGAAAATTAGTAACCATTTATCACTGTACAGTCAGAAAAACATTTTAACATCCAGATAGCAATGCTCTAATCATATTGACTGAGCTAGTAACACATTAAACATGTTGATTCAGATAGTAATACAAAAGTGTTCTAAGATCCAGATAGCAATGCTCTAATCATATTGACTGAGCTAGTAACACATTAAACATGTTGATTCAGATAGTAATACAAAAGTGTTCTAAGATCCAGAAAGCAATGCCCTACAAGTACAAGTAATGACATATCACTCAAGGTTTAAGGTAATATAATGGCATACACCTGTTAAGCTTTAAGCTAAAAAAAAAAACCTATCTGTAATAATCATAATGCATTTCAATTAGCAAAAATACAAATCACAATCAACAATAATTTAATTTTAGCTATTTAACTACTTGCAGTTTTGGTTCATCAAAAAACCATTTTTAAACATACCATATTAATGGTTTTTACATGAACATTATACATTGCTTTATTTTGTGAATCAAGTGTAGAAAACTATATTTGAACAACAGTATTCAGATGATGTAGATAAGAAAATTACAATAATCATTTCTTACTGTGCAACTAGACACATTAATAATGTTCTAAAATTCAAATAGCAATGCACTAATGATCCTGATGCAGATAGTGTACGAATTTTGCAGGGTATAAGTAAGTACTACAGTGGTAAACCTACCACTCAAACAATAAGATAACATACAGAAATAATATTATTTCGGAAAATTTAACTTTTGACACTAATGTTAACTTTCACTAAAAACTTTAAACACAAAACACTACACAGTTAATCCTCAGAACACGTAGAAGAGAGCATAACAAGTTAAATAACATATTTTGAACTGTAAATGGATATAACATGAGACTAAAAATCTCAAGTTAGTACAAATATCTAATGTTTATAACCTAAACTGGTGTATGCTTCTGATTGGATAGTCTGACTTGAATAATTCTGGACTATGTGTCAGCATTCTCATGGTTGCCTTCATCAGGTTAACCACGAGTGTGTCAAAACATGGTCCAGAATTAATCCTCTCCAGGTGAGCAGACTACCATGAATCAATGTATATATATAAGATATATAAACTCAATATTTATCTTTCCTAATCTCCAATAAGGTAAATCAATAACACGTTCCATTCCTACTCGGCTTGATTTTATAGAAAATATGCAAGTTTATTAAACTTCTATTCTTAACAAGTGTCAGCATAGTCAAATACAATGTTCATATTTCCCTCTTCAAACAGTGTATGTATGGAAAATTGTTGTTTTCTCTCCCTCTGATCTGGTTTTTTAGATTAATTTTTTATCTGTACATACAATGAAATATTGTGCAAAAATTATAAATACCCTTCCATAAATTATAAAGTCCTACTCATTTATATTAAATGATCTTAAGTAATATTACAAAATTAGTTTAAAAAAACTGACTTATTACTGTCTAAATCTATAAATGACAAGCTCATGTCATCTTCCAAATGTTAATATAAATATTAATGTATTAATGAATAAAACAGCAGCAGAACAAAATATTCTGAAACTCAAACTTTTGGATATTAAATGATAAAACACCAAACTTAATAAAAAATACGTTTTTGTTAGATTATCATATCAATCAAGCAAGACGTGTACAAAAAATAGCAACATATTTTATAACACAAGAAATAATTAAACTACTGTTTTCCTAAGAGCTCAGCATAACTACTAACTGTGCTTTGATTGCTTTCTACATATACAACAAGACTTTCATCTGACAGTATTGGTTCATACGGTGATCGTACTTGATCTGTTGGAGAGTCAGAAGAATCTATTTCTACAACTACATCTTTAGTTGGCTGGTTTTGTTCTTCTTCAAAAGTGACCACTTTATTTTCTTCTTTACAGTTCTCTACTGTTTCAGTGGTCTCAGTGTCCTTACTCGTTTTGACTGAAAACTCAGATTGATCAATAGGGCCATCTGAATTATTTTCACCAGCAGGAATATCTATAATCAGTGAAGACTGCTGAACTGAGGTTCCTGTAACATCATGAGTCATCTGTGGCATTGTATCCAACTCCTGATCATCCTTTTCTACATTTTGTTGATTCTTCATATTTTCACTCTGAGAACTTGTGTGGGATTTTCGACTTGGTGTTTTTAGTGTGAAGGTAGGCATAATGCTCCCCTCTTTCTTTGGGGTTTGTGCAACATTTTCTGAACTACTATGTCCTATTAACATATTTAAAAATTTGCTCCCTGGGAAATCACTAAAGCCTTTGAGACCTGACTGAGAGCCAGTTTCATCTACACTAGGAGTAGTTGGTTTATCAGGTTGTGGAAAACCTGGATACAACAATTCTGTATTTGGACTGACTGGGGGGCTGCTGTAGGTGTTCTCTTCCCCATCATCTTCCATGATCGTTTCCATTGGAACAAACTCGGCTTCTTCTAGGTTAATGCTGAAATTTAAAACACGTTTACTCTAATAGTCCTTATTATTTTTCTAATTCGTATTTTAAAGTCCCCTAAAATATTTAGATATAGCTTAATTGTTATGAAACAAAGGTTAATAGATTTTTATAAATAATGGTAACTCTTTTTTGGGTTTAAATAGTGTATTCAATATGTTTTCTATGGACTCTTCCTGCCCTTTTTTTTTTTTCTTGAAATGTTTCAGCCAGATGTCACGCTGAGTCCTTCATTGGACTTGAGAATGAAGCCTGAAATGTTGTCTTGAGGCCAAAGATGGCAGTTAACAGTGGTAATTTTTTAAACTTTAAAAAAAGAATGCTAATTCATAATCCTGAAGATTCAAAAGAAAAACCTAGAATGAAGAACATTTTACATAATTTACCTTATCCACATGCACACAACTGATTGCTTTATATACTGTTCTGATGGATTTACTATCCTATATATATATATTTAATATTGATGTTTGTTTAAGTTAAATATACATATATATATGAAGAAATGTGCATAACTTATACTGTTAAATCTGTATTGCAAAATTCCCACCTATTCACTAAAATTGTAGTAAATTCTTGAGCATAAGAATCAACAATATGTGTGTGTATGTAAACACTGGTGTATCGTTTATACTCCTATAAATATAACCAACACTACAAGCCAAAAGACAGTATATATTATTGGTTTGCTATAGAAGCTATAACTGTGATTGTTATAATGCTTATAAATCAGGAACTTCAGATATTTGACCAGGAACATTTTTAGATTTCGAATACTACAAACCATTTAACTTCAGCAGATTCACATCAGACATTAGTATTTTTATGAAAACAATATATAACTTCATCAGTGAACAACTCAGTGTACAAACTGGCAAAGAATGAAAAACACAGAGCTAGCTAGCTCCCTGTTAAGTGATTTGTATCTAAAATGAATTCGCTCATCATGAACCCTCGATAAGATATCAAGGAAGTTCCAGACCAGATAGAGGACTAAATATTGTTTGTAAATTTGTAAAACTTTCATAAATAGATCATTATTTGTAATAACCATTATTGTAAATTGTGTTATGGTTTGTATATTAAAATACATTTGTATTAAAAAAATTGTGTGTATCAATCTTGTTGCAAGTATCATAAATTGGATACACACATCAACATTTATTAAATTTCTAAATCATCATTTAACTTAGTCTCAGGCTATTCGAAATTATAATATGTTAAAAAACAACATACTCAGCCAGAAAAGTTAATACAGTACATTAACATACATGATATATCAAAATCTATGAACAAAAAAGGTTTTAAATCATATCATGTAGTTCTTAAATATCAGTAGTATTGTGCATTCATTTAAAAGTTCTTTGAAAAATATTTTCTAATTTCATACAATGAAAAGCACATTGATTTTTAGAGCTAGTAAACGAAAGTAACTAGGTAAAAGATTAGAGATTTTTTTTTCTTATGTATGAAGTGGTTTTTCAATTTTTAAAAACAAGTATTCTGCAAAAATCGAAATAATGATATTATTGTAGTTTTCAAAATTATTTTGTACAATTTTCAAAATGTCTAAGACACAGTGCCAAGATGAGACATGACAAATTTGGTTTTTAGACACTATTATCTTTACCCAATAATTTATCTAGTATTACAATTTTATTAAGATCAAGGGGTATTATGTAGAATAACAAAGGGTATAATATATAAGAATACACTAAATAACTTGGTACCAAAGTAAGATAATACATATACGAACATGAGTAAAGAAAGGTATACTAATAAAGTTCACATGTAAACTTACTCCAGATTAACAGCAGAACCTAAGTGAGGTTGAGTGCGAAGAGCCGCTGAAGATCTGGTATATGGAAGCTGAGGCTCCAATTCATCCCAGTACTGATCTTTAACAAGACGAGGATGTCGTTGACACATTTCATCTACTATCAAAAACGATATCTATGTGGGAAAAAAAGAACTTTTAGAAATACAAAAAAAACAATTGAAATAAGCTAAAATAACACAACAGATACTTGCAACCATAAATACTTTCTTTATACAGAATAAATGTTATTTTGTTAAATGTATTTAAGTTTTTCTTTCTGCTGAAACTAAAATAGAAATAATTACCAAAGAAGCTCTTGGAATTGCTACAGTCCCTACATTTACAGGCATACTTTTGCAGCCTGCAGACAATGTCCTGTGATATCTTAGCCCATTCCTCAGTTAGGTAATAGTATCCTCTGACATCATGTAGTAGGTAAAGGTGTTGATGTACTTCACATTCAGAAAGGGGGTCCAGAAGCATTTTATGGGACTTAGATCATAACTTCTTGATGGTCAATCAATGTTTTCTTATCTGATATAATCCATAACAATCCAGAAAGCATGTTACTGCAAGTCCACCAATGCTAGCACCCCTCTACACAGTAACTGAACCACCAACAAAATGATCATTTATCATGTATATTGTTTACCTCTGGCTCTACATACACAACCACATTGATCATTAATATAGATATGAAGCTTTGCCTCCCCTGCAAGTGCTACCTATTGTACACAAGTCCAAAAAACCTTAGCTGAACAATGCTTTTTACAATTTGGTCAATGATAATCACTTCTTTTACTATTTTCAAATCCATTATACAACCAATAGCCTCGACTGGTGATTCCTAATACCCATATTGTGTGAACAATAGCCTTTATATGACATAATTTATCATTAATGATTACATCCAGGCTATTGAAACACCAAAATAAGCTATCATTTAGGTCTGTGTTTATTTGGTTTCCAACATTTGAACAGCTCTTACAATCTGGTTTTACATCCAAAACATCAACCTGCCATAAACAGGTAACCACATAACTCTGTAAAACCAATAACCAAAACTGAACCAATTTAGAACAAACTGTAAACAAAATGAGATTACTTTCTCTAACATCAGTAGATATGCAAAATTTGCCTAAAACACCCCTACATCTTTGCAACAGAACATATGACTAATGGCATACAAATTTTTAAAAATGCACTAAAGTGTAATGCCCAAGAAATATTAAATGGTTGTTTGTTTAATATTTTGATGTAGAGTATAAGTGTATTTTGTATGATTATATATAATGACCACTTACCACAAGGTTTCTGTCTAAACACCAATTTAACTCAAAATCATCATCATCTTCCCCAAAAGGATTAATAAGCTGCTCTGCTACCTGAAAGAAAATCATATAAAAATAACAAAAGCCTTCTTTCCAGACATATCATAGTTCCTACTAAAAACAAGATGTAGAAAATGGTAAAATATTTTATGAAAGAGTTTTGGTGTTCTTGACTAAAAACATTAATGTTCTTAAAACCACATGTCTATATAGATAAAATACAGTTACCCATTAACTTAAAAGAGTGGTTCAAAACAATACTTTCTGAATATTCATCTACAAAACATATCAACCAAAACTTACCTTTAACCAACCCATGTAAAAGAAAAACTGCAGAACAGTGAATATAGGAATATAGAGATCCACCTCATACCCTGGATAACCCTTGTCTGGATTCAAATACTGACGACCCATAACTGATGCCATAAAGTAAGTGTATATGGCCAGAGTCACAACCTAGTGAAAAAAAAAAGTATGAAATTAAGTAATTCAAAACCATGTTTCCACATGTAATGCAAATTTCCAACCAATAGAAAGAATTTGCTTGTCATACTCTATAATTTTTTCAAAGCTGTATCCAAAAACTAATATTATTACTATCCAACAAAAAAACTTTAACCCTATAACAACCAGCTAATATTTTTTTTTAGTAGTTAACATCGCTCTAGTCATATTTCTTTCCAAAAATAAAACTAGAAGATGTAATTGTTTAAAATCTGCTAAGAACATTCCTAAATATATGTAGTTTCAGAAAAATAAAACATTTAATTTTGATTCTTTCTACTATTTCTAATGAAAAATTCATTATTTAATGTAGTTATTTGCACTCACACTCCGAATAGTTCACCTGCAAGGTGATTTTTTTATATGAAGTATAAAAATACTATTTTCATCTTACAATTTTTACATTTAATTTGTATATTCTCTAGAACCTCATAAATGAATATGAAAAGTTTTTTAACTCTTTTCAGCACGGGCTCAGTCCCTGGGACCAACCTCGTAACCATTTTGTGCTTGTTATAGTCTTCATGCTATAACTTTTAAATTAGTAAGCAAATCTGACAGATTATCAGTAAACATTACAATGCTTTCATACGTAACATATAAAAAAAAATTTTATTAAGTCTTAAGGTTTGTAAAACAATTTTTTCTCATGTCTTTTTTTTTTCTTTTCTCATGTTACCTATCTATCATGAAAAGTAATATTCATTTTAGAATCAAAAATACTTTTATGCATCAGAAAAATTTGAAATTTCTCATGCAAAATCTTTATAATGTCTAGATAGTTATCAAATGTTTCTTAAGAAAATACTTTATATTTTATCTGTTATTTTCAGTAATTAATCTGTGTACGGGTTCAGTAAATTTGAATGACCTCACAACCTTCATAAAAAATTATGAAATAAATATAAATTTTGCTTCTTTCATTCCAGAATAG